TATAATTGGACCATTTAATAAATAAAAAGTCCATTTGCACGTGATAGGGAAATTATATACTTACAAACATTATCAGATTGACCTTTTCTCCTTCCTCCTTCTTCTTTTTTTTTTTTTCAGCGAACAAACCTTTTTTATCTTAAAAAAGGGATGGAAATTGACCAAATGGCAGGTAGATGAACATGGCTGGTAAAAGATATTCAAAAAATTTCGTGACTTGCAGTAGATTTAATTTATCGTTTTTACACAATCTAATGATTTACTTATTGTTAATAACCTAAATAATTCAGTAATCTTTTTTTGCACTGATAATAATAGGTTATGAATTTGAATCATATAGCATACGAGTGGGGTGAAATAAGGAATGAGAAATAATTACCTTTCATTATATAACCAAAATTCAAAAAAAAAAATGATTTGCTTATTAATATTTGATATGTTGCATGCTGTGTGGTTTTGCAAGGCTCTTATGTCGGTAAAATTCTGTGATCACAATACTATTATTGAAAATATGTTTTAATAAATATATATTATACAAAATTTTTGTTGAAGAAAAGCTAGATTTTTATTTTTTGGTCTAGTAAAGATTTTTCTTCTTTGTTATACTGTATATACAAAGTTAAAGAGATTTAATTGATGCTATAAATATTAGATGGTAAAATTAGGTGTGCTGTTTGTGACGGCTTATCCTGTATTGGAAGTTTAATACTTAGAATTTCATGTTAATTCAAATTAAATTAATGGCTACTTTTCTTATGTATTTTAATAGAAAATTAAAGGGAAAGTCGAAGGTTTATTAATCCTAATGCAGTATTTATTGTGTTGTGTTTGGTGTCCCTTCCCAGGGAAAATTATTTAAGAAAAGTGGCTTCCCGTTTACTACCTATATAGTTAACCTAGGTTGCCACTGGTAGTCATTCAATTAAAGGAGTTTAGTTGGTTATACATCAATTTTTTTTGTTTTTTTTGTTTTTTTTTTGGTTTTTTGCCTAAAAACTCTAGAAGAAGAGTCTTCTGTAGATTTAGAGTAAATCCCAATAGCTGATTGATTAGCTGATAACAAAATTTGAAGTTATTTGGGCACATCACGTGCTTTTAACATTTTCCCACATTCTTTTGTCTGTGAATATAGCATCTAAATACACTCCAATCATGTGTTTGGTTTTAGGAGAATAGAGCTAAAATGCAATTAAAAACAAACAAACAATCAAACAAAAGCAAAATCTCTCCATTTTCTTTTAATTTTGTTATTCAAATAAGGAAAAATTTTCTTCTCTCTTTCCTAAAACCAAGCAAGATATAAGAACATGTTTTACATGAAATGATCCTTTGCTTTCCAAATCTGTCTCCCCTTTTTTTCAAGATTCAAATGAAATATCCTATAACAAAAAGGTTAGATAACAAAGAGGTAAGAGCCCTTAAGTTAACAAACTAAAAAATCAATGGTAATTTTTTTCTCTTAAAAGTAAGAAATTTTGAATTTGAGTCGTATGACATACAAATATAATAAATTGAAAAATAAAAAAAATTACCTTCTATTCTACAATCCAAAAAAAAAAGAAAAAAAAGAAAGAAAAGAGAGATTAGAGCCCTTAAGAGTTGAAACATTGGACAACTTTCAAATTCATAACATATACATGATATGTTAATATATATATTTTTCTAATACATGATTTAATTTTGATTAACTCTTGTTATTTTATAAGATGTTTAAACGGATGCAATATTCACTTGTTTAATGTCATGTAAATGTTATCAATAAATATTATTAATAATACCCTATTTAATTTGTGTTTAGTAAACAACTAGTAACTCACAAAATTTTCTGAAAGAGGGTAAACATGATAGAGAATTAAAAATGTATTTGCAATTTGATACACATATTAATCATTGAATAGTTAGAGATAGATCTCCAAATAATAATCGATAATTAATTTATTTAATAACTGGTATTTAATAATCTGATAAAGATTGATAGAGAATACTCACCCAA